CTCTCTCTCTCTTTCTCTTTCTCTCTCTCTTTCTCTATCTCTTTTTCTTTTTCTCCTCCCCTCATTGTTATCTTTCTCCCCTCATTGTCCCCTTTCCCTCACTCTCTCCCCTCATTGTTCTCTCTTTCTCTCCCTCTCTCCCTCGTGGGCCTGGGGGCATGTGTAAGCACAGTGCGTAGACAGATTCTTAAATATTTGAGAATATGTCGGGCCACCTGCGTCAGGAGCGCCACCTTCACAATTCTGGGTGGGATCTCTCTCCCCCGCTCTCTCCTGACCTATACTTGCTCTTCCTCGCCATCCGACGGGCGCGATCCCATAGCCATTGACGCTTCTATTTTTCGGGAGCTCACTCCTGGGCCAGGCAACATTCAAATCCAGGAGCGAGGCTGACCAGTCGCACATCGGCTGGCTCCTGTCGTCACTCGAAACAGTCTCTCTCTCTCTCTCTCTTTATCTTGTTGTCTTGCTGAAGGGGGGGAGGGTCCAGCCATCACTTCACGACCCTAACGTGGCCCACGTCGGGGCTGTCGGACAGCGCGCCAGCGGCGTCGAAGTTCACACCACTTCTCATCGAGCCACTTCCGGCATGATGAGGGACTCAGTGCAGCGCGCAAAATGGAAGAGGGAAGGGGAGAATGAGGATGAGGACGAGGATGAGGATGCGGATGATGAGGAGGAGGAGGAAGAAGAAGAGCGACGCCGATGCGGCGAGATCCCCCGTCGCCGTCATGACGGTCAGGGGGTGGGAGCCCTCAGAAGAGCTCGAAAACGACGAGGCCGAGCGGGAGGGGGACGCCGTCGTCGACGGCGTTGGGGGGGAGGACGGCTGTGCTCGGGCAGGGCATTATCGCCCTCCCCCCAGCCCTCCGGAAGCCGCGCGCGCACCAGCGGCAGTTTCGTGCTCGACGTTGTCGAGGGGCTCGAAGGCGACCGTACCACGGCCACCGAGCCGAACTCGGACGAGCGTCGTACCGCGGCCGATGACGCTGCCCGCACGCTCAGCGTGCTTGCCCGTCATGATACGGACGCGCTCGCCCGCCTTCCATGCCCGAGAAACCTCAGGCGCAGTAAAAGGCGCAGCTGCAGCGGCTCCGCCAGACACCGCTGGCTCCACCGCCGCCACCACCGCCGCAGGCCGCGCCGCCTCCTCGAGCCCCGCCTCCATGAGTTCCGCGCCAGCTGGGGTCGTGCCGCTACCCGCAGGAGTAACAGACGCCATCGCACCAGTATCGCCACTGCCCTGGCGCACTGGGAGATCGTCAGCAAAGGCATCGTCGAGCTCATCATCACTAGGAGTGTCAGGGACAGCAGGAGGGAGAACCGCATCTGCACCAGGATGGTCGGCAGCAGGCGCAGGTCGGGAGCGGCGCCGCCGCCTCGCTGGCCTGGGACCGTCACCAGCCACCCGCGCAACCATCGGCAACTGCTTGCCCGCTCCTCCCGCCTCCGTGCTCTTCACCTCGGCCGCCACGCCCAGTGCAGTGGGGCCCGCTGCCCCTGCGGCGCGACCGCCACGCCCACGCCGCCGCCGCCGCCGCTGGGCGGCCGCAGCGCCAGGCGCAGGCTCGGCGGGTGCCGCAGGGCGGCCGCGGATCGCGGCCACGTCAGCGCGCAGGGTGCCCTCGGCCGCGCGCAGGAGGCGCACCCCCTCGGGGGGCGCTCCCCGCGGCTAGACCCGAGGCCGCATGGGCCGCGAGGAGCGCGCCTCGCTCAGCCTCCGCAGCGCTCCTGCGGCTGGCCTCCAGGTTGAGCGTACCAGGCATCCGCGTCCTGGCGAACGCGCCGCCGCGGGTGGGGCGCGTTCTAGCGGCAAGACGATTGAGCCAGGAAGGTATTGGAGGAGGAGGAGAAGGAGGCGGAGGAGGAGGAGGAGGAGGAGGAGGAGGAGGAGGAGGAGGAGGAGGAGGATGAGCAGGAGGAGGAGGAGGAGGAGGAGGAAGCAGGGAGGGAGGAGGGGGAGGAGGGAGGAGGAGGTAGGAGGAGGGTAGGAGGAGGAGAAGAGGAGGGGGGAGGGGAAGAGGGGAAGAGGGGAAAGGGGAAGAGGGGCTGAGGGAAGACGGAGGGGGTAGGGGGAAGGTGTGAGGAGGATGAGGAGGAAGGAGGAGGAGGAGGAGGAGGAGGAGGAGGTGGTGGAGGCGGAGGAGGATGAAGGAGGAGGAGGAGGGAGGAGGAGGCAGGAGGGGGGGGAGGAGGAGGGAGGAGGGAGGAGGGAGGAGGGAGGAGGGTGGAGGGAGGCGGGAGGAGGGAGGAGGGAGGAGGAGGAGGAGGAGGAGGAGGAGGAGGAGGAGGAGGTGGAGGAGGAGGAGGAGGAGGAGCAGGAGGATACTGCTTGATTGCACAGCCTTTGAGGGTGGCTTGCCCCTGTACGACTAGATGGAAATGAATACACCTTGCCATTGGGGGCCGTTGCTGACGGGACAGGTGCCACTAAGTGGAGGAGGCGCGTGAGTCAGGATCAATGGGGTGGCCTGATGGTCTGGGGTACTGGCTGGGGCAGCGGATATGGAAGCAACAGACAGGAACGTCAAACGAGTACATCAGGGAGTATGGAGCGGATAGAAGAGGGAAGGGGGACGAGAAAGGAGGAGGAGGAGGAGGAGGAGGAGGAGGAGGCGGATGACCAGTGTAAATCCAAGCTTCATCAACGACATTGCGTTCAACCCCTAGAAGAGTTCATTGTTGGAAGACATCCGTCTGAAAATCTTGCGTCCTGACGGTCCTGAATCGTGCCAGAACGCCGTTCTGGGGCTCCAGCACCGCGAATCAAAGGTAGCTCTCGCGCCCTTACAGTTCGAAACACCGTTTCTGGAACGTCAGCCATCATAATCCTTGGTACTGCTGTAAGCTCTTAAGGCGAATGCGCGCGGCGCTAGGACGAGAGCCACATTTTGATACGGGACTGCCCTTCACCCGTGACTTCCTTGCAAACGTTTAGGACGAATGTGCGCGGCGCGAATGCGAGAACCACAGTGTGAAAATCATTGGCCCTCCATCGGTAAGCACTTACAGATTTTTTAGACGAATGTGCGCGGCGCTCAAAGGCGAGAGCTATATTTTGACAACGGCCCGCCATCCATCCGCGAAGATCTCCAGTTTCTAAGCTTCAGGCTCATATTTTTCAAGGCAGTCTCGGGCGAAACGCCCGACCCGCCCTACCGACACGCCTCGAGGTGCGACAGGGAGGAGTTGTTTCTAAGGAAAAAAAGGATGGAGAGGAGGACCAGTGCAAACCTAAGACTCATCAACGATTTTGGGATACACCCTCCCTCCAAGCTTCCTCTTCATAGGCTTCATGCAAGGGTTCACTTCCACTGAAGGAAGTGCCCCGTTGGGAGACAACCGTGTGAACATCCTGAAGCGTACAACAACACCATTCTCAGGATCTCAGCGTCACGAGTCAACCTGACTGTTGGATCTTGGCGATCTTGAATCATGCCAGAACAACATTCCTGGGACCTCAACACTGTGAATCAAAATATGTGTTGCGCCCCGACAATCCTGAATCTTTCGGAAACACCAATTCTGGAAGGGTAACCATGGGAATCCGCTAAACTTCGGTTTTTTTGGTAAGCGAATGCGCGCGGCGCTAAGGCGAGGGCCACATGTTGAAAAGAAGCCCCCCCCAATCCGCGATGCCATTGCATATTTTGAAAACGCACCTGCTCGGCGCTAAGGCGAGAGCCACATATTGAAAACGACCCGCCCTCAATCTGTGAAGCTCTTACTTTTTCTTGAGACGAGCGTGCGCGGCGCTCAGGCGCGAGCCACATTTGAACACCACCCGCCCTCAATTCGTAAAACTCTTGCAAACTTGCAAAACGAATCTTCGCGGCGCTGAGGCGAGAGCCACATTTGGAAAGCGATCCGCCCTGAATCTGTGAAACTCTATGCAAATTTTGAAAACTAATCTGCGCAGCGCTAAAGCGAGATCCACATTTTGAAAACTACCCGCCCTCCATCTGTGAAGCTGTCGCCAGTTTTCAAGCTTCAGGCTCACACTGTAAGGAAGTCTCAGGCGCAACGCCCGGCCTGCCCTTCCGACCGGCCTCGGGGTGCGACAGGGAGGAGTTCTTCATAATAGGAATGGAGAAGGACGAGGACGAGGACGAGGACGAGGACGAGGACGAGGAGGAGGAGGAGGAGGAGGAGGACGATGATGATGAGGAGGAGGAGGAGGAGGAGGAGGAGGAGGAGAAGGAGGAGGAGGAGGAGGAGGAGAGGCGGAGGAGTTGTGAGGACGAGGAGGTGCACGAGAGGGTGGAGGTGTGGATTTGGATGTGGTAGGATGGAGGATGAGGGATGCTTGATGATGATGGATGCTGATGATGATAATGATATGCTGCATGTGATGGGCTGATGCTGATGTGCTGTTTGATGCTGCTGATATGCTTGCTGCTGCTGTATGTGATGTGATGATGATGATGATGGAGGAGGAGGAGCAGGAGGAGGAGGAACGATGTTGGAAGAGGTATGAGAGGAGGAGGAGGAGGAGGTGGGAGGAGGTGGCAGGAAGGAGGTGGTATGGCTTCCCGGAGGAGGAGGAAAGTGGAGGGGAGGGGAGGAGGAGGAGGAGGAGGAGGAGGAGGAGGAGGAGGAGGAGGTGGTGGAGGAGGAGGAGGAGGAGGAGGAGAAGAAGAAGAAGAAGGCTCGCCTTCCTTGCTGGGCATCGCCGACTGCTGGGAGCCGCGGCGCGGTGCATGGCCCTGTGAGTAGGCCCTGCTAATGAGGTGCCGTCTGCAGGTCGGTTGCGGGCGTTTGGGCCATCTTCTCCCTTCCTCCTTGCCCTTCCTCCTCCTCCTCCTCCTCCTCCTCCTCCTCCTCCTGGACCTTCCTTCTTCTCCTTCTGCTCCTCCGCCCTATTCTCTTCTCCCCCCTCTCCCTCCTCCTCGTCCTCCTTCTCCTCTTCCTCCTTTCCGCAGCCGTTTTGGCTCAAGCGTTTCGGCTAGTCCGCGCGCGCTTCGTCGCAGCTGCCCCGCCCGCCACTCGCAAGCGGAGCCATGCCGGGCGCCGCGATGCGGCGCAGGTCCGCCCCTGCGCTCCGCGCGGCGTGCTGGGCGGCGGCGCTGTGCGCCACCCTCGGGCTGTCGTGGGCGTTCGCGGCGCCGCGGCCCGCCTCGACCAGCAGCCGAGCGGCCGCCGGGGGCCTGGCGGGCGCGCGCGCCCCGGTCGCCCAGGGGCCCGCCGTCGCCGGGCCCTCCCGCCAGGGGGTGCCTGCCGCGGCTGGGCTGTCGCTGCCGTCCCCGCAGAGGAAGGGGGTGGACTTCACCCTGCTCGCCTACTTTCTCTTCTGGTACCTGGGCAACTACTACTACAACATCACGAACAAGCTCGCCCTGAACGCCGCCGGGGGCGCGGCCGGCTTCCCCATGTCGATTGCCACCATGCAGCTCGGCTTCGGCTGCGTCTGGGCGCTCTTCCTGTGGGGCTACCCGGACGCCCGCGCTCTCCCGAAGATCACCTTTGACGATTGGAAGGCCACGCTGCCCGTGGGCTTCTGCTCCGCGGCCGCCCACGCCTTCTCCGTGTTCGCCCTTTCGGCCGGGGCCGTCTCCTTCGGCCAGATCGTTAAGGCCGCGGAGCCAGCTTTTGCGGCGCTGATCGGTACCTTGTTCTACGGCTCCAAGGTGAGCACCGCCAAGTGGTTGTGTTTGATTCCGGTGATTGGCGGCGTGGTCTTGGCGTCTTTGGGCGAGCTGGACTTCGCGTGGGCCGCACTCTTCACGGCGGCCCTCGCCAACGTCTTCGCCGCGTTCAAGGCGAACGAGAACAAGAAGCTGATGGTCACGGAGGGCCTGAAAGACCGCTTGGGCGGCGTGGGTAACCAGTTCGCGATCACGATGATAAATTCGTTCCTTTTCTGCCTCGTGCTCATGTTGGCCACTGAGGGGAGGAAATTCGGTGCTTTTCTCCAACTCTGCAAGACGAGCAAGATCGTCTTGTGGAACATGATCGCGTCGGGCTTGTGGTTCTACGCCTACAACGAGCTCGCGACAATGACCATC